CGTTCCATTTTGGGTACCCATTCTTCACCCACACCCCATTTCCTCCGCTCCTGGCAGCAGCTCTTCAAGCGCTGGCCCGCACTGCCCAGGGCCGCCTCCGCGCCCACGAAGCCGCCGCTCAGCGCGGCGCCGCCCAGCGCGGCTTTGACGCCCTCCTGGCCCAACGGCCGGAGGCCAACGAGGAAGAGCATCGAGCCCCGAAATTCTAGGGTGAGAAAGGAAAGGGACACCATCCGGGTTTGGTTGCTAACATACAGTGGGTTTCATGGGGGCTTGTTATTTCTCTCTTGTTTGTTTTGTTTATTTTCCGTTTCTTTTCGTTTGGGGGGGGTCAAACGGGTGAATCAACTGTCACGATTTCCAACGTTTTTCTCGGCTGGGATGGCCAAATGGTTGGTTACCCCAATCAGGTCTCAAAGAGGGGCGTCGGCAACTGGGCTTAACTGAGGCTGAACTGGGGGTTAACTGGGGGTTAACTGGGGGACTCTATTGTGTCCACCCCGGTGTATGGTGGATTCTACTCGGGGTGCTGATGGCCGGCTCTGCATCTTTGTGGACAAATTCTAGCCCGGCCAGGCAGCCACCAATGGGGAAACTTAAGGTTGTTTTTCAACACGGGACACGCTGAAATCAAGATTTCCACCTCAGAGCAAGGACTTTCCAACAGAAAACCGAGGCAACAAAGAGTGGGAGCAAATGTTTACTGCCGCGAGAGGAACCCATGGGCACAAGCATGGGAGGCTTGTATGTTGCCGCTACACCAGGTGCTGCTGCGTCTCCCAATCTCTTCAGGCGCGCCTTGTCAGGCTAATTTTGAGAGCAAGCCTGGAACGCATGCCTTTGCGAGACAAATAAAAAAGCCGCGCTTCTCGCAACAATGATTTGATGTTGCTGAGTCAGTTGGTTGAATTTTGAACCTTAGCCTCAAACATTGAGTGCAAGATTTCTGGATCTTGGCTGAGTCACCCATTTAGGGGCAAAGCTAGGGGCCCAAATCAACTTGATTTCCTTACCCCTTTAAGCCTGCTGTTTCTCTGAGCCTTGGGCTACTGGAAACAGGTTTTTGTGTGATAATTATTCTCAATCATCTTGTCGCGCTTCTCGCAAGAGAGATGTGTCTGTGTTTGGCATTTCGTGGGTTTTGCTTCAATCTTCTGTTTTGAGCTTATATCTTCTCTCGTGCCCCGCTCTCTGAACATAGTTGCTCTAAGGTGGGATTGTGTATTGCTCCAAACTCTCACATGTTTGCCTCTGAGTGTCAATGTGGAGTCTTCTTTTTGAAACTCGTTGCTCGCTAAGAAACTCGTTCTTCTGGTGGCGTCCCCTTTTTTAACCCGACTCTCTTGGGGTCGAATTGGTGAGTGCAGGCTCCTGCTGGTACTGGAGCATCTGGCCCAACTGCTCCTCCCCCTTCCGCTTCAACGCCTGCGATGGCCTCACAGAAGAACCAGAACCCAGCCCTCCACCCATCCTGTCCACCGCAAGCAAAAAAGGGTACTGCAAACCCCCAATCTCGAATGCCTGCTTGGAGGTTTGCTAACGCAACGCGTGCTGACTGTAAGGTTCGGATTGTTGAACAGCCTGCTATTGCAATGGTTTCAAGACTCAGCAAGCTACGAACAATGTGTCTGAAAATGGCCCAGCCCCAAAGTGGTGGCTTGCTTTTGGTTTCCCGTGACACCAACCTGCCCTCAAAAGAAAGCCTAACACTGAAGCAACAATCAGCTAGTGCTCACAACCTCCAGTCAAATCATCGGAAGTTCAAGCAGGCGGCCTGAGGGAGCCAGGCACTTGTGAAAGCGAGTGGATCAGGAACATCACATCCGCCACAAAGACCGCGCAGCGGAGGGGGTCGCTCTTCAACTCCCCTTGCGCATAGGGCCTCCAGACGTCGGACTGTTTGACTCAAAGCCCATGGGGATGTGTCGACATAGGGATTGGACCCAAAAAATGGCGCTGTTCATGTTGCACCGAAAACCAACCTGAAAAGGAATGCTCTCAACAAAGACTAGCTGCAGAGTTCTCTTGTGACGCCCTCGGCAAGAATGTATGTGTTTCACATACTTGTTGCTTGATGATTGTCCAAGATTGTAGGCCACTCCAACCACTCGTACTCGGAGCAAGACTCCAATCTGCTAGGCGTGAAGCGCACACCAACGTGTCTTCTGTGTGCGTGCGCGCGTGCAAGGCAGCGCCTCAGGATGCCGAAAAGCGTGCACAGCTGGCTGATGATGAGGGGTGCCTCCTCCGGACCAGACACCCGAATTCTTGAGACTTTGTCGCGCGAGAGCTGTCTCCAAACATCCAGGCACAATGGATTGGCTTTTGATAAACCTTACATGGGTTCTGATTGTCTTTTTGGCAAGCTGGAACCCCTTTTCGGGTCCCCTGATTGAGGAATTACAAAGGAAGCGCTGGCTTCCGCTTTGTCCCCAACGTGCACATCGGTGTCCTCATCGGGCTCTTTCGCGAGGGCGCCAATCTGCCTGGCGACGGTCCCTGAGCAGAAACCTCCTTGGGGATGGGTTCCTTGAGGCCTGAGATCCATACAATCGGATGGAACTCCAGGGAACTGGCCGACTCACAGTCCATAGGTCAGCCCAAAAAGTCAATGGCGCGCCCAAAAGTAGTAGAAACAAGTTCCAAGTACCAACAAAGACAAACATTTCACACCAGATAGTCCCAACGTGCATGGTTTCCCGTTTTCATGCAGCATCTCTCAGCAGACCCAAATCAACAACTCCCAGACATCGAGGCATCAACGCAACTGGCACCCTTTTGTTGCCACCCCCCAAGTGGTAAGTTCCAGGAAACCGCCAAAATCCCCATGGGCTCAGATCAATTATTCGGTCTCAACTCAAGTCCGGACCTCGCGAGCTTCAGCGCGGTCGGCGAGACCTGAGAGAGGCTGAGCCGAGCCGAGCCGGGCGGCGGGTGGAAAGGGACGAGAAGTGGCACGAAACAAAGTCGCAACCCAAAAACGTTGCGACAAAAAGGCCTTCATGGGAGGCAACTCCGCCTCCACTGGCACCTGCCACTGGCTTTGCGCAAAGCCGCGCACATCCGCATGGGAAGGACCACTTGATTTCCGCTTATGATTGACCCATGGCAAAGAAAGAATTGGTGGTTGCAAGGAAAACTTATGGGAAACCTGGGTAAGTTCCAAGACAAAACCAAGCGTCAATCATGATGGGACAAGCATGTCTGAGTGTCAGAATTTCATCGTGCTGCTTGAGTTCCCACACCTTGTGCACACCCTGCCCTCCAACTAAACCGTGGTGATTCTTCCACAGCCAACATTCCTCAAGAATTATGACATTCGCTGATTGCTCAAACAGCACGAAGCCTGATGATTCTCCCAAGGAAACCCTTGCGATTGTCCAGCATCTCCATCTGCAACAAAGAGAACCCAAACATCGAAACCAACCGCCCAACCGACCTGGGGCAAGTCCAAACCAAACCCCCAGTTGCTGACCCGTGGCCGAAACCAACCTCTCGAACCCTTCAGTTCAGCAAACTTCGATAAGGCAAGCAAGGCCCGCCAACTCATCAGACACCTGCGCAGAAGCTGAAGCTGAAGCCCTCAAAAGTCACGCACCCATTTACTTTGAATTGTTGAACAGTCCTATTGCGGATGGACAAAATCTTCGCACCAGTTGCGATGCATACAACGCTATGAATACTGGGGTTTATCCCCTAGCGACTTGCGCGAAGCGGATTTTGTCCAGCGCAGTATTGCAAGCACCTGGGGAGCCCTGGAGACTTCTGAGACGAGTTGAGTTGGGGAGTTGCTTCACTTGATCGACCGGAAAAGACAACGTTAGATATTGCCAAAGTTGCCCCAAAGGCAACTCCACAATCCCTGCGAGGAGAGGCGAGCGCCGCTGACATCAACTACTTCAAGCTTCCAGTGATCAGGTCGGGCCAGGTGATCAACTCACGTAGGCGTGATCATGACATGTCGCGCCCTGTCCAAAGACCATGTTACTTCAAGTGCCCACCGGCCCTTGAGTCGGATTGCTCGGATTGGGCGCCGTAGCGCCTTCAACTTTGCCCAATAGGGAAGCCAAGCGGCGCGGCCACCGTGAGAGAACACCTTTGCCGCTTTTCAACAAGCAAACCAACAGCCCCAAAATAGAGCCCGCAAATCTGCATGTTTGTTTTACATTATGTCCAAACTTTTTTACATTACGGATCCCCAAATCCGCCGGCCTGCCGGCGTGTCTTGTGGATGTTGTTGTTCTTGTTTCTGTTGTTGCTTAGACTTTCCCTTGCGACGGATTTTTGCTACCCCCCACCCCCCCCCCTCCCCCCCCTCCCCCCCCACGCCCCTCCCGGCCCCGCCCCCCTCCCGTAAGAGGGTAGAGTATGTATAATGTGTCGCGGGACCCTTTCCTGCATATTTAGCACAATTTCAGGCCCAATGCTGCTTAAATAAATCTTTTAAATATTTTAAACATTTTAAATCCCCGGGTCCTGATTTCTGGAGGTGGGGCCGATTTAAAATTATAAATATTTTAAATAGTTTAAATCCCCGGGTCCCTGATTTAAAATATTTAAAATATTTAA